GCGCAGACACAGACGGCGACAATCGTCAAAATTCCGCCCCCACTTGCAGCACTTTCCCATTTTTGAAAGCCCCACTCGAGTTCGCCTTGAAGTGTGCACGAAAAAAGATTTTAAGTCAAATCACAAAAACCCAAAGGAAGGCAAAGGAACAAGGATAGGTTCAAAAATGAGGGGTTCTGCCCTCTAAAATACTTAGGATATGTTTTTAAAAGGTCTTATATGGATTGATTATTACTGAATAAGTGATTTTAGAATTTGGATAGAGAGATATTATATTAAAAAGTTATAATCTTTAATTCCTTATATTATTTTAATAGTTTTCTTTAGTAAAAAGATATTTTTTTTATAAAATTCTTTTTATCAAGAACTTCACAATTCCTATAGACCCCCAGAAAACTATCCCCAATGGGTATCAAAAACGAAGCCCGACTGTCAATGCCGCCGTCTCGCGCCCTCTATCTTCTCTTGTGGCCTATTTAAAAATTCAAAAGGCATACAGATGCCGAAAAAACACAAACGCATCCTGGGTTCGTTTTATTTTTTTTCTTTTTTAGTGGGTAGTTTAAGGGGTAGCATCATCGACGACCACTTGAGGCGGCTGCTCCAGTTTCCTGTCGCCAGCGCGCACAAAAGTATGCAACATGTCTGGGGGGAGGTGGAAAAAAAAAGAAAAACCAGAAAGGAGCGCAAACATAACGTGGAAATATTATAACGAGTGCAAATAAAACACAGGGATGTCGAGGATGTCTGCAATCGTTTGCTGGCACGCATGCATGCCTAAAGGAAATGCCATCAAATATGCCAAACATGTTTGTGGCCAAAAGGAAGGGGATGAGCGTGGGTGTTTGGCGGTCGGAGGTCGGAGGTCCTGAGTTCGAGGCTTCCTGGCGCCCTTTAATGTTTATTGTGTACATAAATTCGGCCTTGAATGGCCAGAAACGGCGGCAGATGTACAGTGCTCATACGCTAATGGCAAACAGCTGGTTATACGCAAGGATAATAAATGTACCTTAAAATAAAATATAAATGAGAAATTTTTTTTAATATAAATTTTTTTTTTTAAATATTTATATTCTTAGGTTAAGGTCTATGTTCAGTAACTACTATGCCATTTAGCAAACACCTTTACTTTCTTTAATATGAAATATTATATAGTTATCAAATTTTTATATTTTTTTCATTTGTAGGTTATGTTTTATGATGTGTGTATTAGCCAACCTTCAACCCAAAGACCTAATTACCAAAAAGTGTTCTATTTTTTCGGCAGCCACTATGCCATTAGCAAACACCCCGGCTCCTCGCCAATTTCCTTTGATCTTGCATTTTTTTTTCGAGTGGCTTGTGTAAATTTAGGCTGCTCTCGATAACCAATAGATGCTATTTTTGGACCCGGGTTCAGGTCGGCGCCACTTGAGCACGCCTCTGCTTAGAAGGTGAAGAGGTGGGCGTGGCATGCCTACAGGGGGGCGTAGGGCGTGGCACAACCCAAGGCTGGACAATATTTGCGTGCAAGCGAGACGGTGGGATGGCCACTATTTTGCAGCCATAATTCAGAAAACTAACTTTTCCTGGGCGAAAAAGGGGGATTACATAAATCAAAATTTTCTGCCGGCCGAAAAAGCGCCAGAAACTTTTAAGCAAACAAATATTAATTTTAACTTTTGCGCGGCCAAGGCAATAAAAAAAATGGCAACAACAAAAATAAAGGGGGCATTCAAGAGTTAAAGCCTTAATAAATATATGTGGAACTCTCTTTGTTAATTTGCCCATTTTAATGTGCAATTTTTAATTGTTTTTCAACAATATTTTCTGGCCAGGCACAATGAATTAATTGCTCGAGAAGTGGGCGCCATGTCCAGTGGCTGCCACGCCCACATTGCGCCCTATCTTCTTCCGGCCCTCGGTTTTTCCCCGAGAGCCTCGCGATAATTCTTAACCGTTTGTTTATTTATGCGGCGCCGGAAAAGCAACACATTCACGAGGGAAATGCGGGGGGAAAGTGCGGGGGAAAATGCAGGGAAATGCGGGGAAAATCGCGGGGCTCAAAGAGGTAGAAAGATAATATGCCTCCGTATGTGTGAGCCTGCGCCTTTATTTATGCAGCATGCATTTAAAATAAAATAAATATAAATTAAGCATAGCCCGAGTCCCAAAGGAAATGCCCTTTACGTGCAGACCTCAAAAAGATGGTAAATTGATGCGGGAACTTTAAATGTTGCCATTAACAGGTATATTAAAATAATGGCTATAGACAAAACGATTTGCAAATTAAATACAGAAAAAAAATGGGATGAAAAGGATAAATGGATGTTTGAATTATCAATGAGCGTTCGCTATCATTAAGCCAAAATGAACCCACATTTTTCATGTTAAGCAAAAAACATCAATAAACAAGTAAATCCATTAATCGCTATCAACACACTTCATTTCTTGTTAAAAAATTAAAATGTGACAAGCGAAAATTTAAAAAAAAATGCACATTTAATAGGTAATCATTTAGAGTGTGGCCCATTAGGCAAAAAAAAACATTAAGTTATATATGTAAAAATAATATAAATTAAATCATTCTAAAAAAGTGCTATAAAAAATATTTTTCCCCTGATTAAAATTGAACATTTAGATGTTTTGAAAGCTATTAAATATAAAGGATTTTATTTTTCCTGTGGATGAATGGCATTATTTAGCCTAATGATAAACACTTATTTCTTTTTTCCATTAAAAGATATGAGAAAAAGAGCATTTGCTAGTTTTATTCCATCTTGGTGGGCGTTTTCCCGCCCACCCACAGCCTTTCATTATTATTCAGCTTTTTTTTGTGGCACTTTCCTTTGTTTTTGTTGCCGGGATAGTTGGTGGCGCCATTTTGTTGCCTTGCATTAATTGCGATGCAAAAAGGCAACGTCGCATAAATTTCTCATATTTAATTTCGCCTGAGCTGCAGATGGAACCGGAGACACGGGCGTTGTGGCAAACAGAAAAAAGGGGGGGCGGGGTGCGGGGGCGTAGAGCAGCCGGGGGGCAGTTTAATGCACTCTGTTGCATGCCACACCGCCCCCTTTCACCCCGTTCTGCACCCACGCCCCTGAGAGGATTCGTTTACATTAAATTATTTATGCACTCGACTGTGTGCAGCACTTGCGGCTTGACAAAAAAATGTGGGGGGGGTCTGATCACAGCTGCTGCTGTCAGTGAAACCCCCTTTTGAAAACGCCACCCCTTTTCCTTTTCCTTTTTTCTTTTATTTTGCCCCACTTTAATCTTGACCACACACATAAAATTCCCTAACGAATGTGCAGACATTGACCATTAAGCAGCGAGCACCACTTGAACTTGGCCAAAAAGGCTAAGCAGCCATCCTTGACTTTAGGCCAACACCACCCACACTTACCAACCTGCCCAGTCAACTGGTACCATCCAATAAAATGTCAAAGAAAATGGCCAGAAAGGCTTTTAATTGTAATGAGAATGGAAGCGAAGTTCTTGGATAGTCTGTCTACTCCTTGCAAACCAGGAACCCCAACTCCGTTATCCTCTATAAATATATATATAGTATATATAGACCTGGTAACAAAGGGTTTCATGAGCGTTTAATTGTCGGTAATTAGCTAGATGAACAATGGCCAACTTTTAGTCGCCATGGAGCAAGTTTCAAAGAGAGGCAGCTAAAAAAAAGAGCAGCTGGGTCAGAAAATGGGTAACTTGCTTATAAAAATAAGGAAAATGGAGTGTTCTTTTGGGATATAATAGATGTACTCTACTTGTGGGTGGGAAAAAATTAAGAAAACTTATATTTGCTGACATTAATTCATATATCCCGATTTTAAGACTATTTTATTGTTGTTTTTATGTAGATCATTCTAGATTCTGATAGTAAAGAACCATTTTGCAACCTTGTAAACCCAGAAAAGCAGTATTTTTAATTGCCATAAACTCCAATCAACGCACAAGTTGTCGTTAAAATGTTAACAGCCTTTCGCATAAAAGTAGCCAATAAGCATTCATGAAAAGCGAGCCATTGTTAAAATCAACTTAAATGGTAATTTTAAAAGGAGTTTTATGTGGAAAAAAACATCAACTCATGATAAATTTCAATAAATGTCAGTGCACATTTTTAATTGGGCTTCCGTTTGTGACGTGTGCTTTTCAGCACTCCATTATTTTCCCTTACATTGAGAAAGTTAGTTTTCAGATTGAATTTTCACATTTTGAATAGCTGTATGGCTGGCAGTTATTGACACACATTTGAATGGCATAAATCCTGTCGAAATTTCAATTTCCAAATGCACTGTTTCCCCACCGGAAAATCGTCAAAAATGTGCGTATTAAATTCTTAATGAAATAACGCAAAGTTAAGTGCGCTCAACTAATTTCCATTACATTTCTACAAAATTTCGATTGAATTTCACTTCGAATTTCGCTGGAATAATTTCATTTAATTGAGACACACATACAAACTACCGTCGATTTTTGTGCATAATGAGCGGAGGCGAAAATTACAAAGGTTCCCAGCTGGGGACCCCCCTCGAAAACCCCACCAGCCCCGCCCCTTTGTGAGCGTCCACAGCAAAGGCAATTAAAATTAATTTAAAATTTAATCGCCTGTGCAAATGAGTCACTCGGAAAAAGAGCAGATAAAATGAAAACAAAGACCAATGGCCACAGCTCTCAATCAAGAGAAAAACGCAATATCAGATGGGGTTTTTCTGTGTACCCCATTAAAGCTATCAAAATAATCATCTGGCTATTATGAGAGGTGAAACTAAACCTTCACTATTTAGATTTTAAAATAATATCTGTTTCCAACTTCTCATACAAATATTAAATGGAATTTAACTTTAGATTCTAAGATACTTAAAGATATAGTATTTAATATTATACTTATATTATTTCCAAAATTGGGAGTGTCTTAGAAGTATAAAGTGAAATATCTTCAAGGCATTACCAATTCTCTCCGTGTACAACCCCGCTAATTGCCTACTGTATTTACTTTACCTTTTCAGAACTGTGCCAGGCGCAGTCTCCGATCCTGGAGATTTACCCCAAACAAGAGGTCCAGCGCAAGCCAGTGGGCAAGCCCCTCATCCTCACCTGTCGACCCACAGTTCCCGAACCCAACCTGGTCGCCGATCTGCAATGGAAGGATAACCGCAACAACACCATTCTGCCCAAGCCGTAAGTTTTTAACCAATAAAAACCCCATCTATCTATCTTAACCTCCGGTTATTGGTGATATTTCTTATGTTAAAAAAAAAAACACACACTCACTTACACTTACCAATGAATATACACCACAACACTCACACTTCTGTCGTATATATCGTATTGTAGGAATTACGATCCACTGTATGATTCCAAGGGCAATAGAAAGAAAGAGTAAGTGACGCGATCAGCTATATACCAAAAAGCAACAAAATCCAGTAAACCAGTAACAGCAACTGCAAGCGTAAACAGTAACCAGTAATTTAACTGCAACTGCAACAGTAATCAGTAAATGCAACTGCAACAAGCATCAGTAAATAGAAAACTGCGACAGAAACTGAGACATTAACTGAAGGTTAACCGGTACTTTAACTTTTTAAAGTTAACCGCTGACTACTGACTTTGCCATCAAAAGTTCATTGTAAAACTTGAACAGAGAACACCAAAATTTGGTAAAGACCTTTGACAGCTTCTTATGAAACTAGTAGTTCCTGACTTTAACAGGAAGTTTCAATTGACTTTAACCGGCAAATAAAAAAAACTGTAACAGAAACATTTTTAAGCAGCTGCTAAATATAACAGCAACTTACTGTAGTTTCTGGCAACATGACTGTGACTAAAAACCTAAAGTTCTAGACTCGTAGCTTTTCCTCTGCCCCGCCCCCTTTCCCAGCCCCTTTTTTTGTGGTTGTTTTTGGCATGATTAATTGTTTGATTTTATTTGTTCTGTTTGTTGTTAACTCATCTCGCTGCATTTTGCCCAGGCCCAATTTTGCAAGGGGCCTAACTTAAGAGTAGCATTTGGCATTTGACATTTTCCATTCGACAACTGACACAAAAGCACTCACACACACACCCATTTTCCTCATGCAACATTCCTATTAGTTGTCGTACTAACCATCCTTCATCTCGAGTCTCCATTTTGATTTATTTGAGTGCTAAAGGCCAAAGCGAGCGATTAATTATCGATTAGAGATCGATTTTTTGTATCGATACATAATAATATCATGCCTGTTGCGCAAAACAGCCTCTGTTATCACTTTCTAAAACAGTTTGAAAATTTTCAAAAATAAACAATGAAGACTAATAGTAATTTATATTCTTGAAACGTATTTATATATCCCTTGGCTGAACATAAATTTCATTACGATTTCCTAAACTTAAGCTGTTACTTTTCACAATCATCCATAACGAAAGACAGCCAAAAGCTTACGCATAATACTATTAATCACCTTGTTTTTCCATGAAAATGCAAAAGACATTGAAAACGTATTTCATTAGCAGGTAAACGAAAAGCTAAAAAAGTTTCCGTATACAAAATAGAATTAAACAAAAGTTTTCCTCGGCGAAATCAAGTGGAATCTCTCCCTTGGCAACCGAAAAAGGACGAAATTGCAATAAAGGAAAATGCTGCAGAAAAACGTGCAAGGGAATGTGAAAGGCAAATGCGAATGGGAATTCTTAGGTCAAATATTCAGATCGAAATCTCAGCTCCCCGAGTGTGTGTGTGTGTTTGTGTGTGTACTTGCGTGTGAAAAGCGAAATCGTGTTAATTAATTTGCCTGCAGACTGAATGGAGTGGGAAATTCAGTGAAATCCAGGGGAAATACAAGAAAAAGGGCTTTGGTGTTAACCCCTGGAGAGTGTTTCACACCTGACCCCCGTTTAACCCGTGAAAGGGTTCAAGGGGCTTTCGCCGGACGGGGGACATTTACCGACCGGCCATTGCGTACTAATTAACCCCATTTCCTTGTCAAACTGGGCGAGTGGAAATTTGTGTTTTGGCTTGGTTTCTATTTTGCTTAGATTTCTTCTTTTAAGCCCATTGAATTTTGTTTATTATTCTTAATTTGTTTTGCTTCTTTTCGAGGGGAAATCTTAAAATGTTCCTATTTATGGTATTATTTTTTATTTTTCCATATTATTTCTATATTCTTGACCTACCCATATTGAATTATAATGAAAATCTTTAAAGTTAGTACCGCCCTTGTTCAAGTATTAAAACAAATAATTTTTTAAAATGTTTCTTTGTTATTTATGCTTTTATAGAACTTCTTTTTTTAGGACATTTCATTCATCATTTCGCCTTTGGCAAAGTGTGCTTTAATTATGATTGCGGCAACCCTGGCTGGACGGCGGCTGGCTTTTCAATTCCGTTCAGGCAAAAGTGAATGCAATTTTTCATTTCAAACGGTGCTGTGGCAACTCTGGGTTGGTGGACAACCCCCTTTTGTCCGGCTTTTCCCCCAGATTTCCCCCATTTCCTTTAGTTTACTGGCCTCTCTGCCTACTGCTGATTGTTTTGTGTTGGTTGGGTTCGGTTTCGCTGCTCCTCTTCTCTTTTCTGTGGCCAGGCTGTTGTTGTTCTTGGCCGGTTGGGTGTATTTCTCTTTTTTTTTTTGTTAGGGGCAGGCCACACCCACTTATACGGACAAACGCCCACCGCCCATCAGCCGCCCACAATACGCATGCAATGCATTGCATACTTGCAGGCGCGAAATGTAATTAAGCTGCCAAAAACCAACCGACAAGCCGGCCCATTTTTTGCCCACCCCCTCGGAAAATGTAGGAAAATGGTAGGATCCATGGTTCCGTTTATACTCGGGGCCAAGTTAATTAAAACGATTAAGTTCGGCATAGTTCTGCGGCCGGGCAATGCTCGCATTTTTGGGCACGGCTTTTGGCGGGGGTTTGGCTTTCCAATTTTCCCTCTTTTCTTTTTTTTTTTTTTTGGTTTGTTGGTTTTTGCCCAGTAGGTCCGCCAGAGGTCAGTATCTTTTCTGTTCCCCTGGGCGTTTTGTAAGGGGTTAAGGGATTGCAGGCATAATTCTAGGGGTGGTGTGCAGGTGGTATTATGATATGCCGGGCGAAAGCTTTGGCAGCCAGTTTGCTTGCTCATTAAAAACGTTAAAACTTTAATCCTCCGGTTAGGTTTGCGTCTAGTATCTGGCAGTTAAAAGTCTACTAGCCAATAGGTATTTAAAGTTGACTTTAATATCCCCATAAACTGTGCAGACTAGTCTAATTAAAAAGAAGTCATAATAATGCCTGAAAACTTCAATAACAAAAGTGCATCAAAACATTCCATTGTTAGCTTTATGGACTGCAAATGAAGAGAAATGGAGCGAATAGCAAGTGATCAATATGGCAGTAGAGCACATTGTGCTGCTGTAAAATAACTAGACACAGAGAAATGACTCTGGGACCTGTCTGAACAGTCTTAAGATATACCCGATGGAAAACACCCGCCCTTTTCCCCGCTTTTCCGCGACATTCATTGCGTATTCAATAACAGCGAAAATGGCAATAACAACAGCAAACGGGCAACGACATCTTTATTCGCATCCAAAAGGGGGCCAAAAGAAATGCAATAAAAAAGTAGGAATTGCTATATGGCCCCGGGTTCCCAAGGCGCCAAGTCTCCTGAGAGAGAGAAAGAGAGACAATCAACAAAATAAAAAAAAGAAAGGAAGTACTATAGAAGACTGAACAGAAATTTGATTTTTACGTATGCGTAACGGTTTGCTCATCCCTATTCTATCCTATTTTCCTTCCAGTTTTTCTTCTTTTTTTTTTCTGTTCCAATGCTCGTTGGTTTTTTTCCGTCTTTTTTCTATGTGCCTGGTGCTTGGCGCAATATTAAAAATCCAACGCAAATATGCAGCGAAATTTTTGCACAATGTCTTCAGAGCCCCGTCTCTTTCGCTCCGCCCCAAACATTTCCCGATTTCCACCCACTGCTGCGGTTTTCCCTGCGAGGCGTCGTATTTTTTTCTGCGTCAACAACTTTTGTTAGCATAATTTTGGGCGCAGCAATGACGGCTTTCCATGCAAACAATCCAGGTCAAGTCAATAGAAACGGAAGAATTTTATTGTTTTCCAAAGAAAAAGTTGAGTTACTCAAGATTGCTTGTCTTATAAAGTTTATTATTTTTAAATCACTCTCATTAAATTTAAATCATATATTACATTTTTAAGGCACTGTAATTAATGATTATTTCTTTAAAAAAAAAAAATCAAGCACTTAGGATCGACACAAGTAAAAAAGAAAAATACATAGTAATTCTCTTTGGGTAGTCTATCCAATTAAATATCCAACATGTATTTTAAATAAGTGATTTTTGTAACACTCCTCAAAAATAACCTTTTCTTTAAATGACCATTCTACACCAGTATTGAACTAGTTTTTGCAAATGACATTTTTTAAATGGAAATCCAAACAAAAAAATAGTGATTCATTTCCTGAACTTAAGCTATGACCCTTCTACACCAGTATTGAACTCACTACCTAGTTTTTGCAAAAGACACTTTTTAAATGGAAATCCAAACAAAAAAGTGGTGATTCTTTTCCTGAACTTAAGCTATGACCCTTCTACACCAGTATTGAACTCACTACCCAATTTTTTGTCAAACCCCTTTGTGGTTCTATTTTTCCCACCCCAGCTGTAACAGCAGCGCTCCTCCGCTTTCCGGAATATTTTTCTGCTTTTGCATTTTTGCCAACAATTGCGATTCGCAAATCGAACGCAGGTTGTGCCTGTCCTCGCACAAACAAGGAAATGCAAACAAACACCCGCACACATGTGCAATATATAAAACCAATTACAGTCGTAAAAACAAAAGTTGCAAAAAATAAACGACGAGTGACTGTCAAAAATTGAAATCCACCGCCGCAAAAAGAAAAAACAAACAAAAAAAAGGAGGAGAGGCTTTCATTGACTTTTGCCGCTTTTCCAAATATTGCAATTTTCCTTCACAAAAACGGAAATGCAACTTTCTTGTTTTTGCCTTTACTGGTATTTTTTTCTCCCTGTGTTTCTTTGTCTTTTTTGGCTTCGCAAAGTCGTAATAATAATAATAAGCGCCTCTATGCATATTTAGTTTCTGCGCCATGAAGAAAACTTTTTTAATTAATTAGTACGTGAGTCGCACAATGGGCAGCAGTTGGAAAAGTGTAGGAGTTTCGGGCGATAACTCCCACTCTTCGAGGGGCATCGAAAAAGGGGGTACCACAATAATTTGTTTGCCTTGTGCGATTTACTTTTGCTAATTCGCAAATTCACAAACGATACAAAAAGAAAGTTGAAAGTATTCACGGAAAATTGCAAACACTTACAAATGCAAAAGAAAAAGGGAAGAAAGTGAGGGAAATGGAATTTGATTTAGGGTTTAATTAGCATAACGAATAAACACGCACAAAGCTATTAGGTAATTTATTAAGTAATTATTTTAGATGGGGTTACAAAGCTTACAAGCTTTGAGTTAGTAAAAATATATAACATAATATTTGGGTAAAGCTTTATAAATTTAGGAAATTCAATTGTTTTGCAAAACCATTCAAAAATCAATGAATAAATTGCACACAAAATACCAAACATTTCAATGCATTTTGGCAGTCAAAGAAATTTTAACTTCGATTTGCCCAAACAACGTGATGGCTCTTATCGCATTTTACATTAGAGGAAAAGCTGCTTTTCCCTACCCCTCACCCTTTTTTGGGGAAAAATAGGCACCGCATTTGAAGCCAAAGAATTTTCACATTTCCCATTGAAGTTGTTGCCGTGGCAAATTTGCTGTAAATGCGAAATGTATATACATATAGTCGGAAAAAGCCAGGAGGGAAAAATGCGTAACACATTTTTGGGTGAGGCATGCAAATGAGCAGGGGACCAGGGAAAATTCTACTAACAGCAACAGCAGCAATTGTTATAAGCATAAGCATAAAAACATAATAACAATAAAAATAATTATACCGAGAACATACCTCTGTGTACCCACTACTGACACCCATACACTTATACTCGTAATCGTACAATTGAATTGCATATTATTCCGTTACTAATATACATACAACCCGCTTTCATTACCCGCTTTTCCGACTTTCCGGCATTCCGGCATTTCCCGTGCTTTCCCGCCAAAGAAGGAATGGACGCGACCAGTCGCCGATGTACACGGAAACGCTGCCCGGCGAAAGTTTGGCCCTGATGATTACCTCGCTGTCGGTGGAAATGGGCGGCAAGTACTACTGCACCGCCTCCTATGCAAATACCGAGATCCTCGAGAAGGGCGTCACAATTAAAACTTACGGTAAGTCCCGGCTCCTGTGTATAATAACATTCCAGTGGCGGGGCCACAAATTGTTTCAGCGGGTGCTTTCATATTTATTTCCTCCTTCCCAGCATACTTATATGTATGTTGAAATACACACCTTGAATTATGGAGAACCACAAACTCATTGAGGTATTCCTCATCAAAATTGAGATCCCATAACTCAAGTCTCTAGGAGTTCAGATTTGGGTCACCCTTCTGAGGTCCATTGGAAATACAAAAAAATTTGACATGAAAATGGGTTAAAATTTGGACCCTCTTTTAAAACAATTATTTGAATGTAGAAGGTTAGATAATTCAACTACAAACTCAAAGAGGTATCCCACGTCAAAATCGGGATCCAATAACTTAAGTTATGGAATTTGGAAGTTCAGTTTTGGGTCCCCATTCTGAAAACCATTGAAAATACAAAAAAATCGGACATGAAAATGGACTAAAATTTGGACCCACTTTTAAAACAATTATTTGAATGTAGAAGGTTAGATAATTCAACTACAAACTCATAGAGGTATCCCACGTCAAAATCGGGATCCAATAACACAAGTTATGGAATGTAGAAGTTCAGTTTTGGGTCCCCATTCTGAAAACCATTGGAAATACAAAAAAATCCGACATGAAAATAGACTAAAATTTGGACCCACTTTTAAAACAATTATTTGAATGTAGAAGGTTAGAGAATTCGACCACTAACTCAAAAAGGTATCCCACAACAAAATCGGGATCCAATAACTCAAGTTATGGAATTTGGAAGTTCAGTTTTAGGTCCCCATTCTGAAAACCATTGGAAATACAAAAAAATCCGACATGAAAATGGACTAAAATTTGGACCCACTTTTAAAACAATTATTTGAATGTAGAAGGTTAGAGAATTCGACCACTAACTCAAAAAGGTATCCCACAACAAAATCGGGATCCAATAACTCAAGTTATGGAATTTGGAAGTTCAGTTTTAGGTCCCCATTCTGAAAACCATTGGAAATACAAAAAAATCCGACATGAAAATGGACTAAAATTTGGACCCACTTTTAAAACAATTATTTGAATGTAGAAGGTTAGAGAATTCGACCACTAACTCAAAAAGGTATCCCACAACAAAATCGGGATCCAATAACTCAAGTTATGGAATTTGGAAGTTCAGTTTTGGGTCCCCATTCTGAAATCCATTGGAAATACAAAAAAATCTGACATGAAAATGGACTAAAATTTGGACCCACTTTTAAAACAATTATTTGAATGTAGAAGGTTAGAGAATTCAACCACAAACTCAAAAAGGTATCCCACGTCAAAATCGGGATCCAATAACTCAAGTTATGGAATTTGGAAGTTCAGTTTTGGGTCCCCATTCTGAAATCCATTGGAAATACAAAAAAATCTGACATGAAAATGGGCCAAAATGTGGACCCTCAACCACAAACTCATAGAGGTATCCCACAACAAAATCGGGATCCAATAACTCAAGTTATGGAATTTGGAAGTTCAGTTTTGGGTCCCCATTCTGAAATCCATTGGAAATACAAAAAAATCTGACATGAAAATGGACTAAAATTTGGACCCACTTTTAAAACAATTATTTGAATGTAGAAGGTTAGAGAATTCAACCACAAACTCAAAAAGGTATCCCACGTCAAAATCGGGATCCAATAACTCAAGTTATGGAATTTGGAAGTTCAGTTTTGGGTCCCCATTCTGAAATCCATTGGAAATACAAAAAAATCTGACATGAAAATGGGCCAAAATGTGGACCCTCTTTTATAACAATTATTTGAATGTAGAAGGTTAGAGAATTCAACCACTAACTCAAAAAGGTATCCCACAACAAAATCGGGATCCAATAACTCAAGTTATGGAATTTGGAAGTTCAGTTTTGGGTCCCCATTCTGAAATCCATTGGAAATACAAAAAAATCTGACATGAAAATGGACTAAAATTTGGACCCACTTTTAAAACAATTATTTGAATGTAGAAGGTTAGAGAATTCAACCACAAACTCAAAAAGGTATCCCACGTCAAAATCGGGATCCAATAACTCAAGTTATGGAATTTGGAAGTTCAGTTTTGGGTCCCCATTCTGAAAACCATTGAAAATACAAAAAAATCGGACATGAAAATGGACTAAAATTTGGACCCACTTTTAAAACAATTATTTGAATGTAGAAGGTTAGATAATTCAACTACAAACTCATAGAGGTATCCCACGTCAAAATCGGGATCCAATAACACAAGTTATGGAATGTAGAAGTTCAGTTTTGGGTCCCCATTCTGAAAACCATTGGAAATACAAAAAAATCGGACATGAAAATGGACTAAAATTTGGACCCACTTTTAAAACAATTATTTGAATGTAGAAGGTTAGAGAATTCGACCACTAACTCAAAAAGGTATCCCACAACAAAATCGGGATCCAATAACTCAAGTTATGGAATTTGGAAGTTCAGTTTTAGGTCCCCATTCTGAAAACCATTGGAAATACAAAAAAATCCGACATGAAAATGGACTAAAATTTGGACCCACTTTTAAAACAATTATTTGAATGTAGAAGGTTAGAGAATTCGACCACTAACTCAAAAAGGTATCCCACGTCAAAATCGGGATCCAATAACTCAAGTTATGGAATTTGGAAGTTCAGTTTTGGGTCCCCATTCTGAAATCCATTGGAAATACAAAAAAATCTGACATGAAAATGGACTAAAATTTGGACCCACTTTTAAAACAATTATTTGAATGTAGAAGGTTAGAGAATTCAACCACAAACTCAAAAAGGTATCCCACGTCAAAATCGGGATCCAATAACTCAAGTTATGGAATTTGGAAGTTCAGTTTTGGGTCCCCATTCTGAAAACCATAGGAAACACAAAAAAATCTGACATGAAAATGGGCTAAATTTTGGACCCTCTTTTAAAACAATTATTTGAATGTAGACGGTTATTGAATTCAACCACAAACTCATAAAGGTGTCCCACGTTAAAATCGGGGTACAATAACTTAAGTTATGGAATCTAGAAGTTCAGTTTTGGGTCACCACTCTGAAAGCCTTTGGAAATACAAAAAATTCGAACATGAAAATAGGCTAAAACTTTGACCATCTTTAAAACTAATTATTTGAATGTACAACGTTAAAGAATTTAACCACAAACTCATAAAGGTACCGCACTTCAAAATCTGAATTCAATTACTTAAAGTAGGGAATCTAGAAGTTCAGTTTTAAGCTCCCATTTATATGGAAAAATGTATCATTATATACAAGACAATGTTAGTAGGTTCCTTCAAAAACCTTTGTAATTCTTTCTGAGCAGTATTAATGCTATTTGATTCTTGATAAATGTATATCTTTAAGCCACAAGTAAAACATCGATTTTGTGTGGCTGGCCAGGTCGATTTACTTTGTTCCGAGCCAAGTACAGTTGTGTCGGGTGGCCGAAATTTGTCATTACATGTCCGAGCATGCTTGACTTGTTGTCGCCATCGATTAGGGACCATCTCGACTCCCCCTCGTCGTTCGTGATGCTGTGAGTAATCGCCATTTGAAAGCGGAAAAGCTCGACGTGATTCCTCTGCTGCATGATTCATTTATCTTGTTAGCAATTTGTGTCCCCTGCACATTGCTCGAGTGCCACAATGCCGGGCTGCTGGACTGTTGGACTGCTGGAGAGCCCAGAGTTACGGCAGTAAGAAATTACAGTTGCCGGGATTTCATTACATGCGCAGCATTGTAAGCGAATCTAGAACAAAATGGATGCGTCCAGTACAAAGCAATCGCCGAGGATCTGAACCTCTTGCCACCCACTTTCATCTAAGAAAACAAAACAAAAAAAAAATTGAAAAAATTAAACCATCAACAATACAAAGCAAAACACGTTCTTCAATAAGCAGCTGTTGAAAAAAACACACACTCACTCACCTGCACACATTTTGCTGGCTCGTTGACTTTCTAGCAACTCATTCGCTTCTCCTAGACCTTTCCCCAGACCGTTTCTGTAGTCGAGTGCACATAAGTGACGCTGCAGCTCAAAACTTTTACGAGATTGATTTTTCTAAGCAATTTAAAGTTCGTACTCATTGCACACACGGAGCAAAAACCACTGGGCGCGCTAACAACTGGAACCTACTGCTACTACCACCACTACTACTGTCCCTATCTACTTTCGCCCGATGTTCAAACACATTCGGTGGTGCAAGCGGCGAAGGGAGGAGCTGTAGCTGGCAAAGGTAAAGAAATAGTGAGCCAACAATACTCGTGCTAGTGATATGTGAGAAATTCTGGGCTGTTATAGGAATAGTCGTGAACTACACGTGAAAAATTGATTGACCATTTAACCGGTTAGTGTAGGTGAGGGTAGCTACCTTAATAAACGCCGGAAACTGTTTTTATTTAAAATTGATCAAATATATTCAACCCCGATCGCCAGTGTTCGCTTTGTGAAAAGCTAGAAGCAGTTGGGGATTCTAAGGTTGTAAAGCAAAATATCCAGAATGAAATACTTTGATCTTCGGTTGAAAGCCCCCTTTTTTCTAACCGTGCAGTGGCGCCCTTTTCATTTCGATAGAGAGTGAGTAAACTGAATTGAGAGGCCGCCCAGGCTGGTGCGTTTGAAATGAAATCAAATATTTTGCCGGGCAACAATTTGCGCCCGGTGATATGGGCACCCAGAACTCCAGAACTGAAGGAGTAGTATGTATAGTAACCGAACTCGTACTAGCTGCACTCTCCAGTTCTCCATTACTCGGATCGATGTCAGGCTATCTGTTTGACTTGGAATGACTGCGTCGGAATGGAATCTCCTTTTTCATCAGAATGAGGGGCAGGTAAATACGCTGCACTCCGCAATTTGCACACAATCAGTGTTGACTAAATGCCAGGAGACTTCAGTGTTGGTCAGCGTGGACGCGTGGATGCGTGAGTGTTGGCAAGTGCCAAGCCATACGTGTAGCTTTAAGAGCTCTCCAACTTTGCGGTCGGAATGTTCGTGTTAAGCTTGTTTAAGCCCCTACTGTTGTGCAAGATAGAAACCAGGTTGACCAGCATTTAAATACAAAGCCTAACAGCAGTTAGTTATCAACACCAACAAGGAGCAACTTAAGGATTTGGTCGAAGGATGTGGCCAGAATGGGTGAATGTGTATGTGTGTGGGGGGGGGGTCTATAGAAGTAACTGGCATTGTGTTGACAACTCACAAGTTGCATTTAGTTAAGCAAATAAGCAGACACACTGCGACAGAGACAGCCAGAGAGCTGAAGGCAAATTGCAAGATTTACTTTTCCTGCACTGGAAGAAAATTTAAGATGAATCAGAAGAGGATTAAAAGCAGTCCCCCAAAATAATTTGTGATACCAAATTTTATTATCTCTATAAGTATATAAGTATAAGTCAAATAAGTTTAAAATTGGAACCAGTATTGAACAGTCTTAAAAAACAGTCTTTCTAATGATCAATATTTTAAAAAAAATAGTACTTTTTTGAGAATATGTCAAAAAAAGGGATTTTCTTGGAAAAACAAAAAATAATAAATTGAATAAAATTGCTCAGTGTAGGAAAACAGTACACATGAGCGGGAATTCGAAAAGGGGAGTTGGTTATGGCATATTTACATACCGTTGTTTGTGCCAGTCACAGCTTAATATTTCAATATTTATGCTTTTAATAAATGCATATGCTCAAAACAAACTTCCGGCAGAAAAGCAGAACAGCAGCAACAGACGCAGTTAGACTGCAGGCTAGAATGGAATGGCAACTTCCGCTCTGGGAAGCGCTTTAAGCTATGTATCTTTTGCAATTTCTTATTTGCAGCCCGCAATTAAAGGCATTAAAGCGCATTAGCTCAAAGTATAAAGGCAGTGCATCAATTCAATATTTATTCGCATATGTATAGATACTCGGTCTGAATCTGATGGCCGATAATAGTCGACATCCTTTGGCATTGTTGGCCATGTAATTGCCACTAATAATGTTGATTGGAGGCATTAGAGAGTTGGCAATTGATAAATATATGTATATACAAATATGTATCTGCAATACAATTCGATTTATCTGGCTTGGCTGCCCAATTAGCTTTATTCCGTTGCTCGATTTTGGTACTGCAAACTGGTTGCATTGTCTGCAATTTGTACATTTTCTCAAACGGACAATTTCGGACATTGGCAAAGTAAACAAGGATTTATAGCATACTTTTCAGCTGTAATGCAGGCACAAGTCAAAATGATCAATTAGCATTCGAATTAATTGAGATTTGTGTGTGTCAACCTTTTGAGCTCAAGACTCTTGCAATGTTTGTATTGCAGGAATTTAATTTATTTCTGTTTCACTGCTTGTTTAAATGGATATTTCGATAGTCGAATTACATATTTGATATTACAATTTCAACATTAAATATAATTATGTTGGAAAATAAATGTGGCAAGATTATGCAAGAAATTAATTAATACCCGAGGCATTGCTTGCCTAAAGGTTGCACTTGAGAAACTTAAAACCAAGCCTGTTTAATTATGGATTAAATTAAAAATATTTATACATTTTTAATTGAAAAACCTTTTACCAAACTTCAAAACACACGCCTCGGTTGCGACAATCTGTTCGATTTTATTATCACTTTGTGAACCGGATTCTCGACCTGGACAGCGGTAATTTTGGACCCATTGCCGGTCCAGGCCCCAAATCAAATTGCAGTTTCCCCAGCAGTTGCCTCTTTCTACTGTATCCATTATTTTTTTTTGCTCCATTTTTATTTTTCTAATAAGTTGTTGCAGCAACTTTTTCAATAAGTTGTGAGTCATGTTCGGGGCTCTCCGGCACCGACAAAGAAGGAGCTCCGGGTTCGGACTCCCGGACACCCGGACTCCCAGACTCCCAGACTCCTGGACTCCTGGTCTCCTGGGCTCTCTGGCTTGTCCTTGTTCAAACTAATAATGAAATCGTAAACTAGTTCATCTTTTTTCCTCTCTGCTTATATATACGTATATATAGATCGGTATATATCTATATATATCTGGGTGTGTGCTGGCTGCCCATCAGACGTCAGAAACGAACGCAGCGAAAAGTGTTTGAACAACAAAATCTCACACGCTACGACAATGCAGCCAAACTGAAAAGAGCAAGGGGATGCAAGGGAAATATCCGGGAAAAATCCTGGGGAACGGAGAGAAATGACAGGAGCAGCAAGTTTTTATTTATTTTATATGTTGTGTGGGTGCAAGGAAAAAATTCAAAAAAAAAAATAAGGAACAAGGATGGCAGGGCGAAGAAGCATCCAGGACATACACATCCAGACACTGCCAATAAAAAACTGCAAATAGAAAATGTTTTTAACACAACTTTCCGTTATTTTGGCTTTGGCTTTGGATTTGGCTTTGGCCGGACATCCCATATATATAAAAATATATATACCATATAGATATATAGATATATAGATATATATGGAAGCTTGACAGTCGGTAGACAGACAGAGATGGCTTGTTATTACACTGATTTATAAATAAACTGTAAATATTTGAGCCACACACATGCTGGAACTGAAAGGCTGCCAATGATGGGTAACAGCTTTTCGGCCAAGATTGCCTTTTCAAATGCAAAATATGATGGCAGATTTAAGTGGGTTGTGGGTTCCATTACCACCTGAAAGCCGTTGACAAACGGGTTCTTCTTCTCTATAAAAGGTGCAAAACCTAAGCCAGATTTACATGGGCAGATTGGAGAGCATGAAATATATGAAATGAAATTCAGATGACTGGTAGATTGACAGGGTATTTGAAATACCCTATGCTTATGTTTCGGATTATTATTGATATTTTAATAGAGGACATTTTTAGAAAAGTACACTTCTAATAAATCACAAAAAAATAACAATTAGTTGGACATTTTTTTTTATTTCTCAAGACTAATGTATCCACTGAATAAATCGAACTCTAAATGTAGTGTATAACTTTTAGATTTAATGGAAAAGCTCTTACCCCTTATATATGTATGTTCATTTAACAATTCTCCTTTAGGCTGTATTTATATCACCTTCTACCCTTTGAGCACAACTGTACCTGTAATTTACCACTGGGACTCCCCCCTTTTGCCTTGAAGCCTTTTTGATTATTTTTTAGATTTAAACAACTCTTCCGCTTCACGCCTTGAATTTCATTTGGTAGTCTGAAAGTCTGAGCTTTGAATTGCCAACACCTAGTACTTTACAATCGACCACCCCCTTCCCTTTTAAGGGGGGACGCCACTGTTTATCGGCACAGTGTTGCAAGTATTTGATTAGGAATTTCACTTTTGCAATGCACAACTTTACACTATTTTTTTTGCTTTTGTTGCTCATTTTCAATTTCCAAGTCATCTTGGGAGAGGAGATTTATTGGCAGCCAGGCAGGGGCGTCCATCCAAAGGGGGGTGGGGGCCCTTTTCCAGCTCGTTAGTGACCCTTAGGAAAATGTACGAAAGGGGGGAAAGCCGCGCACATGTCTTGGACTTTGCGCTTGATGCTTGAATTGCTTTTATGCGCCCGACAGTTTGTTTAAAATTATATTACGTATACGCCACGTAGAGCTTCGCTTGGATTGTCAACATGACCAGAAAACTAGTGTCCTGCTTGGCTAGCATTTTTCTCTGGGCTCAGTTTCCTCCTTCTTTTTTTTTGTATTTTCCTCTTTTTATCCTATGTCTGTGTGCTGTGTAAATGAATGCGAAGCAAAATCAAACAATTTGTGCACACCTAGCTCAGGAATTTGTTTGTCGCAGGACTTCAGGGCTCCAATCCTTGTCCAGCTGGCAATCGTCTTACTGTCTACGAAACAAAAACAATGTCAGCACTGCGCAAAGAGGTGTCCTCCGAAACAGGAAAAGGGATGAGAAACTACAGACCAATTTGTTTATAATTTATGGGAGCCCATCTGGGAATATTTGTATTTAAGGGTTCATTGCAATAAATTCAGATTTTGAAGAGATTTGTATAATTAGTAGTGAGACCTTTTATTATGAACTAAAATTTATCATTTTTGATTATTTAAAAATTGTATACAGAAGTATATATGAGTTCCCAAATGTATTTATTTCGAATGTTCAAGAGCTTAATCCGAAAAACTGGAATTTTCTCTTCAAAATAAATTACTTTTGGAGAATATATCAGCTGTATTTCTTAAAAAATACAACATTAAAGCCTTTTCCCCTTGTCCCTTTGCAGTGGCCATTACCTGGACCAATGCCCCCGAGAACCAGTATCCCACTTTGGGTCAGGATTACGTGGTTATGTGCGAAGTCAAGGCCGATCCCAACCCAACAATCGACTGGCTGCGCAACGGAGATCCGGTAATTACAACTAACCCCTCTATATTTTATGAGTAAATCACTGACCTGGTTTAATCCATCGATACAGATCCGCACCACCAACGATAAGTATGTGGTGCAAACCAATGGCCTGCTCATCCGCAACGTTCAGGAGAGTGACGAAGGCATCTACACTTGCCGTGCGGCTGTCATCGAAACTGGAGAACTTTTGGAGCGCACCATCCGCGTGGAGGTCTTCATTCAGCCGGTGATTGTATCGCTTCCCGAAACCCTGAATGCCGTCGAGGGCAAACCCTTTGCTGCCAACTGCACGGCGAGCGGCAAACCGGTGCCGGAGATCAGCTGGATTCGCGATGCAACCCAATTGAACGTGGCCACCGCCGATCGATTCCAGGTCAACCCGCAAACGGGTTTGGTCACCATCAGCTCTGTCAGCCAGGAGGATTACGGCACCTACACGTGTTTGGCCAAGAACAAGGCCGGTGTTGTTGATAAGAAGACCAAGCTGAATGTCCTGGTCCGTCCGCAGATCTATGAGCTGTACAATGTGACAGGGGCCAGGAACAAGGAGATTGCCATCACCTGTCGCGCCAAGGGACGTCCGGCACCGGCCATCACCTTCCGACGATGGGGAACCAATCAGGAGTACACGAATGGCCAGCAGGATGACGACAATCGCATCAATTTGGAGGTTAACTTTGATGAAGAACGTGGCGAGAGCACCGGCACCCTACGCATCTCCAATGCCGAGCGATCCGACGACGGACTGTACCAGTGTATTGCCAAGAATCAGGAGGATAATGCCTACAAGACCGGCCACATTACCGTTGAATTTGCACCCGACTTTAGCCACATGAAGGAACTGCCACCGGTCTTCTCGTGGGAACAACGCAAGGCGAACCTCAGCTGCCTGGCCATGGGCATCCCGAATGCCACCATCGAATGGCACTGGAATGGACGCAAGGTCAAGGATCTATACGATACCAATCTGAAGATTGTGGGCACTGGACCGCGTAGCGATTTGATTGTTCATCCAGTGACGAGGCAGTATTACTCGGGATACAAGTGCATTGCGACCAATATCCATGGAACCGCCGAGCATGATATGCAGCTGAAGGAGGCACGTGTGCCAGATTTTGTGTCCGAAGCGAAGCCCAGCCAGTTGACCGCCACCACGATGACCTTTGACATTCGCGGCCCACCAACCGAAGTGGGTCTGCCCATCCTGGCGTTCAGTGTGCAGTACAAGGAGGCCCTTAATCCCGACTGGTCGACTGCCTACAATCGCAGTTGGTCACCCGATTCGCCGTACATTGTGGAGGGACTGCGACCACAGACGGAGTACAGCTTCCGATTCGCCGCCCGCAACCAGGTGGGATTGGGCAATTGGGGCGTTAATCAGCAACAGTCGACGCCACGCCGGTCGGCTCCCGAGGAGCCCAAGCCACTGCACAATCCCGTCCAGCATGACAAGGAGGAGCCGGTGGTCGTCTCGCCCTACTCCGATCACTTCGAGCTGCGCTGGGGAGTGCCCGCTGACAATGGAGAGCCCATCGACAAGTACCAGATCAAATACTGTCCGGTAAGTTATGAGTTATGGGCTAAAACTGAAGAATTACTTTAAGAGCGTTATATTATATCTAAATATCTAATACTATATATGATAAATATCTTACTAAATAAAGTTAAGATCCCATGTTCTCCAAGCGGAATAGACTTTAAAGACGAAATATCACTAGAAATAAAACGAATACTAATTGACCTATATCCTCTTCAGGGCGTTAAGATCAGCGGCACCTGGACGGAACTGGAGAACTCCTGCAACACCGTCGAGGTGGTGGAGACCACCTCATTCGAGATGTCACAGCTGGTGGGCAACACCTATTATCGCATCGAACTGAAGGCGCACAATGCCATCGGCTACTCATCGCCCGCTTCCATCATTATGAAGACGACACGAGGTGAGTCCGATTCAGCTAATAACAATCTCGGCACGTTGCTCTATTCGGCCGGATATAATTCCGGTGTCGGTGCGCTACACAAACGACTGTTCACAACAACAACAACAACAACAGCCACATCGACAACAACAATCACATCGATAACAACAGCAACAACAACAATCATTACGCTGGCCACCACAATAAGCATAACATTACTTAGTGTCCTAGCCTCAATGTTAGTCTAAAAAAAAAAAATCGAAAAAAAGATATCTAAAAACCGTAAAAAAGAAGAACTATCAAGTCGATCGATCGATTAGCCGATTCCAATGGGATGTACAAAGAATTTCCAAAATGTGAACGCAGCGTTATCACACACCCACTGATCTATTTGGCTTTTCGAACGACCGAAATTGAGTACCCGATAATATCGAATTGCATCGTATCGAGTCTATAAGATCCCAGCAAAAAAAAAAATGAAAACATCCATCATATATAACTGAAAAATCTCTATATATATATATACACTCATTCACACACAGACATCATCTACATGATATCCAGTTAAAGACATATTTTTACTGCTCTATATATATATATATATATATGAATATGATACATATATCCCAGATATAATCGATAAATTTTGCATACATTTTTGTAGTGTTTATTTCAATTGCGTTTCAACTTTTGTTTTTTGTTCACACTCAGTGTAACATCCCCCCTCCCCAGTAATGTCCCAAAACCTAAATCATGAAAAGATAAAAACCAAAACCCAACTTTACCCCGATTTCAACTTAATTTGCTCAACGTTATAACCTAATTTCATTGCCTTATGTTTTGAAACATTTTGTGTTTTGCATGTTTTTGTGCGTTCTGAGTCGTCTAGAGCATCTTAACCATCTTAACTTCTTTTATTGATAATAAGCCTCGAATATGTAATGTATACATTCCAATCGAATTGTCCACACACACAACCCACACCCACTGGGCCAGGAAAAAATGGCAAAAGTATTGCAACGCATTTGACTAAGCATTACAATTCATTCGAGATCGTGTTGTCGTCCCTCTGAGATCGAAACCCATTCTTATTTCCCATTCAAATGCAAAATTCACCACAAATCTCGTCAGTCAGCCGTTGTACGATATATAGAAATGTGAGAGATGCGCGCGTCCCGAATTGAATTTTAGCTTACTATACGCTCTTTTTTTTTATTACCATTCTTAAGCATTTACTTAATTATAATTACCAACAACACACTAAACATTACATTATTTGTGACACGAAATGAAAGAGAAGAAAAACTCGATCATTATAATTTTATATTTTTGTGTGTGTCTGCATTCATCACAGTTTTCGATTGTAATATTATTATTAATACGTATGACGAAACAACAAAACCCTGTTAAATGTAAATCTAGTATGTAATGAAAAATGAAAATAGATAAACGCGATGAAAATCTTTTCTGTTTGATATTGGATTACTACCACACTAGAGTTCTTCATTATTATTTTTTATCACATCGATCATTATTTGATTTAATTTGATTTTTTGTGTATACTGCGACTACTTCTTTAGTTAAATTTTTGAATTATAAGCGATGAAAAAGAAAACGTTTCTCAAATAAAACATTCAAAGAAAACCAATGAAACAAACTGTAATTTACTGCAACTGCTGTCGTACTCTTTTATTATTAGTTATGCCTGCGTTGTCTCTATCTCTTTCTCTCTTTCGCTCAACCCCACTCACACTGATCGCCCTCTCTTTCGCTCTCGCTGTGTCGTCTCTGTTCCTCGATTGGTTGTCCTTTTCTTTTGGTAATTTTAAGTATATGTTGTGCGTAGTCCGTTTGTTTGTGTTTGTGCTAGTAAATCCTTTGTGTTTGTGTGTGACGTCTCTATACCTCTCTCTCTATCCTTAAGTGTGTACCGTTAATCCCAAAATCACCCATCCCTTCCGCTTTTGCCTAGACATAACCTCAATTTTAAACCTAAACCTAACCTCAACTTAAACATTTAACCTTGATATTTTGGCTAACCAGTGGACTTAGTGTGTGCATCTAATTAGGCATTTAGTCATAGCTATTATTCTAACCAACAACAACCACATAACTCAACTAAAAACACATTTGTGGCCCTTTTGTTAGAGAGACAAACACTCGAAAGCAAACGCAAACACACACAAACTCGAAACCGAGCCAAACAAAAACAAAAACCAACTAACAAACAACTAACTCACACTTTGCACATTGTGTTTGATCCAACGTCGTCGTCTTCTCAGTAACTGAGCAAAAAAACATAGAAAACTAAAAATCAAGACCAACCAACCACAACGAAATGTTCTTTTGTGTGTTTCCTTTTCTTCCTTTTTCTTCTACCACTTTTTCTTCCTTGTTTTTTCTCTCTTTTATGGTGTGTGTGTGCCACAACCACAACAACAACAACTCCCACTACTAAAATCAATTAAAAACGAACTGTACAAATGCTAAAATGCATTCACAAATTGAATAAATCGACAAACAATCGAAAAAATCGACAAAATATCGAAAAACCAACAGATAATCCTCATCCTTCGCCGAGTGGCGCTGCACCTCTGGCCCAACTGCTTATTATTAGCGCTGCTCTGCCGACAATGATGCTGATTATGCTGCCGACGACGCGCACTGCTTAAACAACCACAGCTGCTGATGCTTCTCCTGCTTCCACCCATCAACAAGCAGTGCTTGGAGGATCCTTCCGCTGGCCGTTTATCATGGGTTTTCCTTTCCCTAGTTTTCGTTTGGTGTGTCAATGTGTAAATAATAAGAAAACTAATTGAAAAATCACAAAAAAAAGGAATAAAATAAAACATACTCTTAACTAGCAAGAAGAAGCGGACATAATTACGTTAAATGTGCTCAAGTAGAGAATATGATCGATAAATATATCACATAGGGCGGGTCACGATTCCATTAACTGTACAAAAAAAACAAAAAACGAAGATCTATGATAGAACCTAGTTAAAAAAAGACGAAAACGGATTGCCAAAACCGAAACACATGCTTACACAACTGATAAATTGTACTTATATGTATCCTATATCCTATGTCTAACCGCTAGAGACCCTATTTTACCACTAAGCCAATGTTATGTTGTTATTTAGTTGTATGTGTATAGCGAGAGCATTTATAGACTACATTCCGATTCCGTACACCCGTACCGCTTAGTTCAATGTGAATTTTACAACACTGCCAAGCGACACAAAAACAAAAAAAAACCCAAGCAAATTTATATATGAAAAGTTTTAGCGAAATTCTACAAGAAGAATAAGAGTAAAAAATATCAAGTGCATACGAGTACAAGTTACATTTACACTCTATACCTTACACCTAAAGTTAGCCAAAGCTTCTTCCATCACTGTTTTCAAGGCAGTTGCAAGCAGTTTAGCAAGGTCTCTGTTCTGTTTTGAGCGCGTAAACGTTAAGAGGGGACAATAAGTAACTCTAACTAAGTTAAAGCGATTACGAATTTTTCCACACAATGGGGGCTCACAAGTGTTTTTACCTTCTGTTGATAGTAAGCGTTTAATAAGCCAAAACTAGAATGCAACTCGATCTAGACGAACCGATATTCCTGTATACACGTTTTTTTAGCAAGCGAAATCGATTTTTCTAGCCAAATATATATCGAAAATTAAAAAAAAAAAGATCAATACAATTTATACCTTTACAATATCTAGTTATACTTACGTATACACATATAGTTAGTGAATAATTCAGCCCGCCTAACGTTGCTGAGATGGGGAAAGCGTTTTTTTTTAACGCCCTTGGGCAAGCAGTAGGAACTTTCACTGTTCTCACAGATCACACTTAAACACAATGTCATGAATGTTGTAAGCAAATGAAAACGAAAACATAAACGATAACTAAATTGGAAAAAGGAAACGAAAAGAAAGTCTACCACTTAAGAAGTTCATTTTGGGTAATAAAGAGAAAACTTTAACAGAAAGCAGTGCGTGCGTGTGTGACTTGGGACAGGGTTGCCACCAGCATTTCGGATGCCGCCAGGTAACAAAAAGGATGTGTTTAACGCCTATATATGTATCTATGTATTATAACCTGTTTATTTGCACTGCACACGAACAACCGCAGACACTAACAGCTGAACAACCAACAATCCAAATTTCTGTATTCCCAAAACGAGAGAAATCTGTTGATAATAAACCTTATTGTTGATTGTTAATTGTTGATTATGTTATAGTTTTAAAAAACCGAAGCAAAGCACTCTAGGCAAACGAATCCCCAAACCTTCTATATAATCCCCCTCCCGCACACATAATGTACATACAATACACTTCTATTTAACATAAGGTAAAACAATTATATCCCTAAGTTGAACTGCTTTACACTGCTTGTATACTTTGCATATTGGCCTATTTCTGTATTTTGCAATTTGTAAAAAAAAACTTGAACACTTTCAACCAACCGCTTCTTTCTCTCACTCACCGACCACTTTCTCTATTTCTGTGCTGAGCGAAAACCCCCTATAAATCCCCGACCAAACTTTCCCACCCAATTGCATGCTTTATTTGTAAACTCCCCTCGACTTTCGATATAAGAAAAAAAAACCGAAGACAAAAAAGTGAAAATTCATATTGCTAAGTTTGTTGCTTTGTTTGAAAATGCTTTTCATGTTATGTCAATTGGTGCAATTTGAAAATGATTTTGTATTTCCCTTTTATTTTTGGTTATTATGATTGCTACTATATTATAACTGTTATGATTTCGTTATGTTTAACCTTAGTTTCGACTAATTTCAACCACAAAATAATACACACACAAAAATGTAAAATATGTTTAAACGATTAACCAGCGATTAAGAAACAGAGTTTTAAGTGTGTAAGATTAGCTGTTAATTGGAGGACTTTTCCTAGGCTAGTGAGCCAGGTGCTGGCACCGTACCACCTAGAGATACGTATAGTTAACACCCCCTCTCTTTATAAATCAATCTGAATGACAACTTACTAATGGAGTACACTTGTTTCCCCCAACCACATCCGCATCCCGGCTACCGTCTGCACACTCTCTGATCCGTAAAAAAAAAACATATAGGAATCGATGTCATCCAGGTGGCTGAGCGACAGGTCTTCTCCTCGGCGGCCATCGTGGGTATCGCACTCGGCGGCGTCCTCCTGCTCCTCTTCGTGGTGGACCTCCTTTGCTGCATCACCGTCCACATGGGTGTCATGGCCACCATGTGTCGCAAGGCCAAGCGATCGCCCTCCGAGATCGACGACGAGGCCAAGCTGGGCAGGTAAGCTCCATCGATTTTTCTTATACCGTGTATGTCCTTCGCAGATAAAAGTGATATAAACCAAAGCTTATTTGATCTACATTTACTTGAAGTATAGCAATTTAAATTGTATAAACCTTCATATAAACCAAGTCATATCTGATTTAATTTAAATTTTTAGATAATCTATTACCTATCGATGTTTTCGATAACTTTAAATGTTCTTACATTTTTTAGATCATTTTAAAATCGATAAATAGAAAAGATCAAATTAACCTCGAGCTTAGATCACTGAAATCTGTAATCTTATTTTTTTTCTTTACCTAATTTGATTTGAAAATATTTGACGCAAAGTGACAAAACAAAACGAATATTGCACTAAAAATCAGAATCGGAATCGAATTTAACATTTGTGCTTTTTGCGTTCTGCTTGTGTTTATTCCCCACACGCTCCTATTTTGCGATAAAAAGCCCAACTTACAGGCGCCAGGACTTGGAGTACAATTGGGTTTATGCGCGGCCCAAGTCCTTGTTGTTCAATCGCAATTCCCTGATATCGGTCTGAGCCATTCGACAAGTCCCGAGAGACTCTTCAAAATTTAATTTAAAATTCCAAATTGTTAGCGATTTTCCTTTTCGTTTGCCATTAAATTTTTAGTGCAATATTTTGAATGTAATTCAAAGACCAAAACAGAACAACACAAACCGAATTACTAATATATTTCAAAAATTCACACTAGTTTACACGAATACACCAAAATTTGCTTCAAAATCATTTCCTTAGTTTGTTGGCTAATTGTAAAATTAAAATAAAAGTGTGTTTAAAAAAAATTATTAGGTGTTGTAAGGGTTACATTGAGAAAATAACGTACATTATATATTTTTTAACAAAAGTTAAAAACAATTTGCATTTAAGTGTACTGAAATATCATTTTGTCATTACTAAAAAAAAATTATAAAAAAAAATATGGAATATTTAAAACATATATTTCTGTATAAAATAAACGCACCGTTATTACCTCAAAAAACACTATACTAGCCAACGCTTACGTTTTGATAAAAAAAAAACACAACCAACATCCATACAAAATATACACACATTTATTTCTGTTTCATCATTGTTGTCACTTGCATACCAAAAACTCCATTGCTATCTTTGTACTCTACTCTATCTTCAATACTAAATCAACCTCATCATGTATTATTCCAATCATCCAATCACACATCCAACCAAACCAACCAAATCAAATCAAATTAAATCGAATTAAATCAAATCAAATTCAACCAAAAACCGAACCACATTCACAATATCAACTACCAACCCAAAACCATCTAACCAAGCAGTCTTTACGGTTGGCGTTTTCCGCTACCTTATTGCAGTGGTCAGCTGGTAAAGGAGCCGCCACCATCGCCGTTGCCACTGCCGCCGCCCGTCAAACTGGGCGGTTCGCCCATGACATCGCCATTGTACGTACCCCCGTCTTCCATTTCCATTTCCGTTTTCGTTACTGTTACTGCTTCTGTTTCTATTTCCATTTCCGTTTCCGTTCCGTTACCGCTTTTCATTTTGATTTTCTTCGCTTCCGCTACTCGGCCTGTCTGCATCTGCATCCGCATCCTTTTTCGTTTTGCCGTGATGTGTTTCAGTTTCCGCCCTCCTCTCAGTATCTATCATCCTATCACCTATCCAAAATACCTCATAAGTCATCATCAGCTAGCACTGCATGGCCACAAAACTATAGATAATTTGTTGTAGTACTTATGCGGGTATGACACTTTTAAAAACCTTTCCCGGGATTTTGAAATTAAAATCTTAAAATCTTTTTCTTAATTATTATAAATTTAAAAAATCTTAACAGAAGAACTATTAAATAATCTTATGCAAAGCAATTAACAAGCAGGGTGTATGATAAGATACAGTTTGAATCTTAAATCTTAGTTAAAAAAAAAAATTCTGTTAGGAATATTAGAAAATACATAAAAAACAAAAGAGGCCACTAATATGTAAGCACCAGTGTCATACCCAAGTTCAAAATTTAGTTTTAAACTAAATATATAAAATAGCAGTCTGCACTGCTTGGCACTGCTTTAGCATGGCTGTAATGACAGTTGAGATTTGAATTCAAACTAATGCCACAATCTATAACCAATTTCCATTTCCTCTTGACTTTCGCAGGGACGAAAAGGAGCCGCTACGCACGCCCACTGGCAGCATTAAACAAAACTCGACCATCGAGTTCGACGGGCGATTCGTGCACTCACGCAGTGGTGAGATAATCGGCAAGAACTCCGCGGTATAAGGAGGGTCTCCAGAACTCAAGGAACTCCAGAGTCCAACCGCAATGTGCACAAAACAAAGTTGAGGGAAAATACACATACTCATATGTAAACCATATGATATATGTATGATGATCTAGCGCGAACAAGCCAAAGCCAAAACTAGGGGAAGAAAACTTGAATATCGATCGATTGGCACACTAAGTTGGTTTTAATTTACTTTCGTACACAGCTTAAATCTAACTAAATGTCTTACTATAATACATACGATATCTTAAAAGCATTTAAAACATAGTACATTAAGCTCGAAAAACCGGCAAGCAAACAAACAAAAGAAAGAATCACTCCATGTCGCTTCATTTTCTAGTTTGAACAAGTATTTTATATCGCTACATTTGCTTTGTTTCTCCTTAGTCAGATTAAAAAAACACAAGAACTCAAGAAATTTCAAATAACGATGAACAAAAATGGGAAGAATAAATAAAACAGAACGAGATGATAAGGAAAGGACCTAGCCTAAGTTATATATATATGAACATATATATGTGTGCAAGAAAGAAATCTTAAATTAATGCCTTACAAACAAAAAATTACATTTATTTAGCAGTTAAAGCAAAGAGAAGGGATTTATGCATGTAAGCCGCAAGGAATGAGAACGATTTCTTTAGTATAACTAACTTAAACATGCCATAAATAAGTTTTAACATTAAGTTTGCCCCCTGATCATCATCCCCCACCAATTCGTAGTACTTAAAACGCTGAACAAAAGACTTGCGAGCATTTCTTTCCACAAAACCATGACATTAAAACGGATAGATTGAAGGAGGAGCAACAAAAGAAAGGACTTGAATATTTAGTTGATATCGAAATCCTTGGTTTCCTATTGCTAATTCGTATACTTAACCACCAGAAAGTGTAATCCACAGACGGCACTTAATGAAAAATGCTCAATGTACATTAATGTTGACGAAATTGAATATTTGAAAATGTTTACAAACTGCTTAGCTTAACTGCTTGCAAAGCGGAAATGAACACACGCATGACGTTTCCGCATCCGGTTCATCCCACACAAGTTCAAAGTCGATGAGAATAGTGCGCAAATCGAAACTAACCCAAGTTAATTGCTAAGTTTAGAGAAAACGGAGAACTACGAGATTGCCAAACATTAACAATTCATTTTCTTTCATCCCACTTCCATCAAACAATTGCAAATCGCTCAGTTTTGTGTTAAAAGTATTTTCTTATGTATGTAAAAATTAAACAAATTGTAGTTAAGAGATCTAAAACGCATTAATCTAACGGATATATAAATCTAAAAATATATATATGTATGTACATGTATTTAAATTTACTCGTAAGTTTTTTTTTCTACACAAAACAAATAATACAAAATAAATAAAAAAAAAAACAAAAAACAAAAGCGAACTACAAATATGTAACCACGCCGATCTAAATGTATGTATGTTATATCCATATCCCCATGGAAAATGCATTTTTATTTGACCCCCGCAAAAATCCTCGATCCGATCCTTTTCGCTGAGATCCCCCAACTTTTTTTGTTCGTTGCCAAGCCAATGAGCTATTTGTAGCTTCTGTTGCCAGTTAAGTCAAGCGCCTTGTCAGAGCTTTTTACCTATAAATATATATACACACACGATACTATACAAAACCCCTATCGAATAACCCACAAAGCGAACCCAAATCGAGATTACAGGAGGCTATATGAATTTGAATTTGGATGCAATTGTTTACGAAATTGCCGGTCAAGCATATGAAATATGTTGAGAAAACCAAACGGATCGAACCACTCGATAACTCCGTTCGGCGGCAGAGTGTAGCTTTTTATATGAACTAAACAAAATTGATGGAAAATTATACACTGAAACTGAAACGGGGGAAAATAAATCGTATTTACTGTACTATACTTCCGAATGATGTAGTTTTATTTCCCATTTCGGGTGGTGTATTCATGGAATGGTTGTATATGTATAGAAAAAATATAGAAAATGGCAAAAAGACCTAAGCCACTTGTTGGTGCAAGTGTCTCAAGTCCCGTCTCTGTGTATTTATTTCTGGCACTCTGCTCTATTTATTCGATCGTTTATGGGAATAAGCACTTGAGAATTATAAAGTCCCACCCTATGATATTTATCTAAAAATACACCCCAGCCACGACACAATCCAATCGCAAAGTGGTTGTGAAACAGGCTATTTAAATTATCAGTTTAACGCTATTGTTTAACTAATAATTAGATTATCTTTTCCCAATTGTTGGTTGCGAATCATTTTATTATCAATTCTATTGGCGTTTATCAGGAGGCACACAAGGAAAGCTTACATTCTGCACATTCTGTGGATATTTTACAATTTGCAGTGGAATAATGTACAATTAATTGGGGTAAATTAAAAAGCACATAATGTTTAAATACAGTTTAAAGCGGCAACTCGTTTAATGACTTTGAACAGGAGGCACAAATTGGGGCTAACTAGTTCGAGGTAAAACGAAAACCATATCATATATCGGGTTTTTGGGATATCAACCTGCAGATAGACTAGGGACTATCTTACACAGATATGTTACATTGATTTGAGCATTGTACAACTAGTAGTATTTCATAAATGAAACTTGCGCTAATACTCTCAGGGGTGTCACAAAAATCTCCTTTGGTTTATAATCTCTTGTGCTTTCACGAAATCCATACAAATACGTTTTTTTTGTGTGCAGTTTGGGATTTGAAAATATTAAAATCTATGATTGAATTGCACTATTAAAAATATTTAGGAAAATAAAAGTTAGCTTAGTCTTTTCGTTTAACATAATGCCTTCACCATGTTTTTACAAAATAATAAAGTAACCGATAATAGGGCACCATTGCTTACAAGCAACGATTCTGGTTATAGTTTTGAATATCAGCGTAAGTAAGATATTTTAACTAGACTATGAGGAAACATGAATCTCTGTAAGCAGAGATATTTTTCCACGACAGTTTTAGGACGAACACATAGAAATAAATTCACTAGGATGACAGCTTGGTATACCTGTATATACAGTGGGCTACCGGGGGCTAGACCTCCATGCCGCCGTCAGATCGCTTGCCCTTCTTCAAGAGCGCCTCCTCGGCGGTCAGCTTGGTCTTCTCGGTGCGAGTGTGCCAAACGAGGACATCCCTACAGCCATTGGCCAGCGGCTGCAGCTGATCCCTGGTGGTCAGGTGCCTCAAGATCTCGCTCTCCTGATAACCCCGCTGCACCTCGTACGAGAACATGGCCTGCGGATTCCGGATAAAGAGGTCCATGCTGATGGCAAAGGCGGCCATGTCGAGGGGGAAGGGCCGCTCTGGTCGCCAGGCGGCATTGAAGCCGGTCACCTTGGTGCCATCCTCGGTGAGCAGGGGTCGCTCCACCATCAGGCCGCCGACCAAGCCCACCGGCCAGACGCCCACGCGTCCCCTTTCGATTTTGCTCATCTCGGCAAAGAGTTCCGTGGAATAGGAGTTGTCGTCGTCCATGAAGAACACTATGGAATGCCGGTCAACGTCCACGTGGCCCCTCAGCCAGGCCAATGCCAGATTTCTCTGCTCCACGCCGCGCGGCTTTATCCAGTTGGGGTCCTTGCCCTTCAGCTTGAATTCCGGCGGCGTCTTGGTGTTCAGCTGCGTGGAACGCTTCTCCAGGCCGGCCCTTTCCAGCAGGTTCCTCACCAGCGAGGTGGTGGCATTCGTGTCCTCCACAATGATCCAGTGCAGGTGCGGCAGCAGCATGAACAGGTGTGATAGTCTGGGTCGTTGGATGGGTATTACTTAAGGGTATCACTATAAGGTACGCTTAGGGGTACTCCACCTGGTTAGCTCTGCCTTCTGTGCGGGCCGTGGATATGTGGGCGTGACGGCGTAAATCGTGGGCAGCGTGTCCGCCTGGACGTACATGGCCTGCAGGTACTCCGGACCCTGGCAGGTGCGCTTGCCGTTCCGGTGGACCATCATCAGCACCACCAGGAAGACGATGATCAGGATGAGGACCTGGCGCGGTCGAATGCGGACCTCCGACATCCTGCGGCAGTTGAACTTCGTAAAAAACCCAATTTTGGTAAAACAAACAATTGGGCAGCCGATGTGGCTAAATAACGCCGAGCCAACTGGCAAAGTAACGCAAACGCTTCCAAAATCTTTAGTGCCTAGTTTGGTCACACTAAAAGCTTTTAAGACAACCGTTAATTTTTAAAATAGAATTCAAATAGGATTTAAACTAAGAAATTATTATTTTATATTATTTACTGAAATAAGTGCCATATTTTACACCTATTTTGCTATTAATTATAAATTTTGGTTAAGAAAATGTTGCGGGAATTGACCAACAAAAATTCTTAAGGTTTTAAAGGTTTTAAATATTAAATTTTTTAATAATTTGGAATATTTCATTTTTTTTTTTAAGAATATCAGAATTGATTTTATTTTCAGTTTCTAGAAATTAACTTGAAAGCAACTTGCACAAATGTTAATACTTAGCCGACTTATAACTATTTTTTAAGGTATCTCTATATGTTTTTTAAAATAATGTTTCAGATGATATAGCAAAGATTTCTAAAAGTAAATATAAGAGCAGGCCTGTACATCAAAGGTATACATTTAAGATTCCTTTCCAGCAGTCTCTGAGTTAGATCTCCAAAGAGCAGTCACCAAATTCAAGCATCACACATCAGATCACCTGAAATTCCTGGGCGAACAACCACCTCAATATTATAGTTTAGAATACTGAGTTAGCACCACAAAAGATGGCCCAGCAGCCGAGCGACAAGACCAAACCCAAGACCGATCCCAAGTCGCGAAAACTCAAGTTCGCCGGCTGTTGCCACCTGAAGGATGAGGCCCTGGCCCGTCTCTACAAGATCGACCGTCTGACCGACGAGGAGCTGGCCTCCGTGGGCCTGCAGCGCAAGTCCCTGATCGATGACTATCGCCATCTGCACGAGCTCTCGCAGATGAGGAAGTGGGAGAACGGAGTCCGCCCGGCTCGTCCGGCTCAAACCCATAGGAGCCGCTTCTCCCGAATGCCCCAGTTTCGCCTCCAGGAGTACAAGCCGGTCAAGTTGTATAAATTCCAGTTGCTCAACCAGTTGGTACACGTGATGAGTTTCGACAAGGATTCGGAGACCATATTCAATGAGAAGCAGTTCGAGTTCGATGCCGATTACCATGAGGACGAGGAGGTCCAGAGGCTGCCGGCCAAGGAGCGCAAGCGTCGCCGCTTCGAGTCCTTCTGCGACCATCTGGACAACATGTTCATCTGCGGCGATCGCAACATGGCCATCGACCTGGTCGTCGATGCCCTCATCCGTTTGAACAGGCGCCGAAAGCTGAACCCTCCTACTGGGCCGGCCAATCCCAGTCGCCTCCTGCCGGTTCCCCGCCGGGAATACTAACTATACAAGGGATCTGGTGACATAGTCCATAACCCTATCTCACACACATCCCACACCACCCAATCCCAAAATCATTCCAAAGCATGCAGTATTATTGAAAAAGATGGAAAATCGAAAGCACTCGTTTTCTTTTTTGTTAATTTTTATTTCGATTCTCCACACAAATACACTTCTCTTCAGTATATTATATTTTAAACACATTTTAAATTAAATTTCGATTTCCCATTCAAATACGTTTCTCAGTTGCTGCCTCGATTTTTTTTTTTGTTTTTCGCATGTACAAATATTGGTATGTATAAGTTATGTTTATGGATGGGTTCGGGGGTTTGGGGGTTCGGGGCTTGGGAATCTGGGGTTACTAATAGGCTTCGTCAGTAGTAGTAGTCGAGTACATATGTGTATATAGAAATTATGTATACATTTATATAAATTTAGGGTAGTTGTCTAGTACGGGAAATTAACACCAAAAGATCTTTACAATTTATAGGTTCTTAAATAAATAAAGCCCAATAGTTCAATATTATAAATAGAATCGGATATATCATCGTAAAGTATTGGGTATCTAGGAGAATTTGAAGAATACAGAGAAAATTTGATTGGAGAAAAACCCACCTAAGCATATGAATAATACGTAAGATTTCCCCTACGTGACCTGTGGTCTCACGACCCCGTACTAGACCTCTACCGAATTTAGAGTTAGCTCCATTCACACGCTTATAAACATCTTGATCTGCAACTCGATCCATTCACACTGGCCTAACGTATCAAATAGGTGTTTTCATAGAGTTCTTCTTTAGCTATCCAATAGACTTAGTCGTAGATTTTTGTATATGTATGTATATCTATGATTATAGTTCCCACTGCGCTCGCTGCTGCTCCAATTCTCGCCACTCCACTCCGTTCCGTTCCCAATTATTGTTATTTTGTATTCCAAACTCAACAAGTGCACTCAAGACGGAAATAATGCAGGTTGAACTGTACGCAACTCGAGCGATAACTCCGATATCCAATATCCAATATCCGATAACTGATAAATTGAACAATACGCTAGCTACGCAAAATCGAAATCAAAAGGCGGAACTTAAAACAATTCTAGTTTTGGTCTGTTGGCCGACATCTCAGCCTCCAAACTCCAAGCTCGAGCCACTTCCGTCCTACGAATATTATCGAAAAATGTGGTTAACTATATAGCGGGGAAAATAAGTGTCCGATAATCCTGATCCTCATATGCCTCTCTGTTTTTTGTTGGTTTTTCGAGTCACAATTTACTATTTATATACACATACACACAGCTACAATATATATTTTACATAAATACACATATAAGAAACTTTTTTTTTGTGTTTTTCCTTTTGTTTATATGTAATTTATAATATTTCAGTATTAGTTTTATTTACTGGCCTAGCGTATAATTTATTTTCAATTTTGTATTCCATATATTCTCATTATCTGGGCTTTGTGTTTCTTGTTTCTCGTTAGTTCTCAATTGTCTAAAATTGTTGCAGTGTACATTGGCTTAGTTTGACTTAGTGGTTGTATATAACACTAGTTTACACGAAAGATGTACGTCTTTAAAAACACGTTTCTTAGACTAATTTGAGTTTGCTGAAATAGAAAATGGATGCCGAAAGAAGAACTTAAGGGCCTTTTTGATATATTCGCAAAGAACGTGGTTATTAGACAGACATATCTTGGGAACCATAGGTCCAACCAGCAGATAATGTATACCTCCAGGAAGAGCAATTGATCTTGCCTAATAAAGCAAAGCAAATATTTAAAAAATATTTAAATAATGTAAAAATGTAGAGAAGCTACAGTCCCCTAAGCAAAATTCGCTTATTACTAGACAGATAATTCTTTGCCCCATCTGGTGGTATACATTTTCGTCTGCTTAGCCTATAGTTCGCTTGATCTTAACAACTTCGTAAACATCAGCCTCTTAGTAATTAGAAAATATAAGTTCATCGCCAAAAAGGGCCAATTTGTGTAAACTAGTGTGATTTTCTTAGATTCACCTTAATGCGTGTGGTACAAATACATATATTTCATATATTCCATATATTCGTCCTCCCTGCAACTTAGTTAAAATTTCTCTGGCTTTCATTTTTTTTTTTTTTTGATTCTGTTTTGGATGGTTTACATGGTTTAGAGCGGTACAGCAACAGCTCTGGCCGAGTGTTGCTTTAATGGGGGGCTTAAAGGTTTGGGGGTACAGGATTCGGGGTTAATTGATATTGAATATTTGTCTTCGCTTTTTTTCGGTATTTTACTTTACGTTTATTCTCAAAATATACAGCACATAAAATTCCAATTGAAGCAAAACAGTTTCACATACATTTGAAAACATTTCGCACTGTTTGTTCTGCTTATTCGGTCTTAAAGAGTAGGCAATCCAGATCGGGTTCTCTAATGATTAGCTTTAAATAGGTTTTCTCGATTCGCTCTCTAGATAATTTCATTTATGTATTGTTTTCTGTAAATTTTATTCTGACACTTTGTTCTTACTAAATGGTTTCCTGCTCTTAATTACTCGATTTTAAACGGTTAACGTTTTGCATTATCAAAAAAAAGTTACGTTAATAGATGCGCGTATGTATAATGTATATTCCTAGATATAGCAATTTAGTTGCGCTTTTTATGCTACGAGTTCACTTAACTTTTATTTTGTTTCTCCGTCTCCAAATCATTTCCTCTTTAATTTTTGTTTTTTTTATATTTTTTTTTTCGATTTTATATTTTAATGGTTACAATATCTAACCTTCTTTTACCCTTTGGAGAGACCTTCTGAGGCTCTCCCTGCTAAACGGCGGCATTTTTCGTAAGTGCATAATAGTTTTTATAGTGTTTTTGCTGGTTTTTTGTGGTTTTCTGTTTCTGTTTTCTGCTTCGCGGTTATTCTGTTTAACATACTTTCCTCATGAGGCTTATTTATGGCTAGCCGGAGCTAAGGAGCGGGCCTTACATAGTTTACTTTAAATAGTCGTTATCATACACACACATATCAAATATTTTCCGTGGGGCTTTCTTTCCTCTCTGTAACACAATAAACCCAAGGGTCGAGGTCGAACTGCCCCCTAAACTTCTGGTCTCATAATATGTACACGCGACGTTGACTCTGTCTAAGAACTAGGATTAGTTTTATTTTCTGCTCTTCCAATAACACGCCCCGCCAAAGCTGAGGGGCGTTTGAAACAAAGACAAAAATAAAAAAAAACGGTTGCGTAATAGTAGTAATAATAATTAAAGTACAGTAATAGTAATAGTAATGGTAAAACGTTGCGTTTTAAGGAGCCAGAAGGTCGTAAATTAACAAAAGCAGATCCAAATGCTTGATTGAACATCACTATGCATCGCATCTTGTGGCGAAAAAACGGTTAAATCGCGGTTAACTAATGTTAAATAAATATCCACTTATAGCTTCTCCTCCGATCCCAATTACATTCTCGCGTAAGTTCGTAAGTTCACTTTCTTAGTTATGCTCTCCTCCTAATTCACAGCTGTACGAAGGGGTTTTTGGGGTTCCTGTGCTCATAATCGTTGGAAATCCCCGCCCCCTCGATCTTCTCCTGGCGATGGTTTACCCATTGGGCGCATGTACCTTCATAATCGACCTCCATTCTAAATAGATCCTATACTCCTAATCTCAGGCACTCCCTCGCATTCATACTCTGGAAACACAGACACCCCCACTTACACCTGGCACTCCTCGACAATCCTCACAATCTTGACAATCCTCACTATCCTCATAATCCTGATCCTACGCTGCCGCGCTCGCGCTTGTAAATTGCAATCAATAGTTACTCTATTGATTCGTTACATTAATTAGCATAAAAGCGTATTGTTATAGCAATTATTTATAGTGTATGTACGATATCGGTAGATGTATAAACGATGGCCCAGCACAAAGTAAAAAAAATATATAAACAACTGAACATGCAATTCGAACTAAACTCCTCCCCTGTCTTCAGCCGATGTTGGATGCTCTCGTTAAATTGCTGCCGATATTGCTGACGTTGCTATTGCGATTGGTGTTGCTGGTGTTGCTGCTGCTGCTGTTGCCTTAATGTTGGTGATCTCGAAGATGTCGCTGGTGACACAACGACTGCTGAATCGGTTGGTTTCTAGGTCTCCTGCTCCTGCTCGTTATAGTATGTGACATACTTGCTATTGGCAATGGCATTCCAGGCTGCAAAGGGCGAAACAGTGGGTTAATCATGCAACTACAGGTGATACTAGGAAAATCCTTATCGTTAAATAATTAAGCCATTTGCTAATATTGGATAATAGTAAACGTTTTTCCCCCCAACCCGAGTACTCACTGTTGGCGATGTAGTCGACGATAAGTTCCGTGTTGGTCATCATCGCCGGTCGCGAGGACGTCTGCGGCAGAATAGTAGCCTCCTCCGCCTCCGCGGACGTCGTGGGTGCATCCGCCTTGAGGTCGGCCATGAAGCTCAGTTCCTGCAGGCTCTCATCGTCCTCGTCTTCGTCGTCGTTATAGGCCATGAACACGGGCAGGGCAACCTTCGCCTCCGGATTTGGATTTGTATTTGTATTGGGATTCAGGTTCGGATTGGTATTAGACTTGGTCTTGGCCTGCGACTGAGTGGCCTCCTGTTCCTGCGAGTTGCTGCGACTGCAGCTGGTGCTTCGAGCAGCGGCGGCGGCACGAGCAGCGGCTATGATGGCCGCCTCGATGTCGTTGCACGTTTCCAGCTGCTGCATCGAGATGGAGTTGGCACTTGGCAGCGTCTCCTCGCTGCTGCTGGCCTTGCTCAGGAAATTGTTGACGTGCTCCTTAATGGACGTATTAGCGGCACCATAGATGCCACTATCCCCCGACTGATTGGCCACTCCTCCCAGCATACCCGAAATGGATGCCAAACAGGCGGCACCATTGCCGCCGGAGGAGGACGAAATCGAGACCGAGGATGATGAGGTGGATGTGCTCGCCGAGGAGGACGACGAGCCCGAGGGCGTGGACGAGTTAATGAGACTGACGGCGCTCGATGAGGTGGCGGATGCTCCCGCATTCGGCGACGATTGTGCCGCCTCCGCGGAAATCGAGAGCATATCCAGGCTGGCCGAGCTATTAACCGCATCCGAGGCGGCACCGGAATCGTTCAGCTGCTGATCACTGCTCGCACTGACATCCTGCTGAAGCTCCTGCTTCTTCTCTGGTTGTTTCTCCTGGCTATCCTCCTCCTTATCCAGTTCTTGGTCCCCGTC